GGTTACTAAGGCTCACAATTTCAACAACTCATTGTACAGTACAATCATTTTTGATCCTGCTAATTATGGCTAGAGGAAGGATGGGCAATGACACTTCTCAGGAATTCAAAGGCTTTAGATAACTTAATGGTTTCAACTTTCAAAACTACAAAATCTGTTCTTCTCAAGTTGTTTAAAACAGCTAATCACCTATGCATTTGACTCTACCTCTACGTTCTGGTAGAGCAGGTGAAAGTAATGAGAGATGTGGTATCATGGAGAAAAGCAGCAATAGAATGAATGAGGTATAAGCTCATTTACTAAACCCCAATCTGTAATTTACAGTTTTTTAAAGAAGCTGCATAGTTCAGCAAAAATACACCATAAAAGTGGGATAAAGAAAAAATTCTTAATGGAATTTTAAAAAGGTATGACAACTAAGCATTTAAAATGACCAACACCAGAAAACTTGAGGTTGGAAAGGAGCGGTCTTCCTTCACCTACTAAGCACATATAAAAACAGAAATCAGAAGGCTTTTAAGTCCACAAGAGAAAAAACTGTATGTTATTTGGTTCCAGTTATCAACTTCATACACTGCTTTTTAAAAGATAGTAATATTTAAGCAAATAATAAATTCTGGTTAATGACACCTATATTGAAGTGTTTAAGGGAAATGTATTGTCTGAAATTTACACTGAAGTATGTATTTTAAAATACTCCAAGGATTGATGGATGGATATGTGGTAATACAAGCCTAGTACAGTGTTGATAGTAGAATTTACTGGTAAAATATTTTCAACTCCAATGTATGTTTAAAATTTTCCATAAATAAAATTAATTTAGCCATGTTTAAAAGACTCAGGCAATTTAGAATTTTAAATTAATTGCAGTGGGAATTTTTGCTTACGGCCTCAAATCCAATTTGTGAAGATCCCTTCTTTAACAGAGAGATGAACAACACAATTAGTAAGTATTGTGGACAAGACAGTCTCTTCTTCACACACTACATTTGCAAGTAAATAATTCTCTCTACAGAGTAGACACGTTTGGAAAAGACCACTGGAATAAAGTTTTTCCAAACCTCAGTGTCAAGCCCTTCCCAGTCCACCATACCACTCTTCACTAAATAAAAATGCAACACAGATCAAGGTGAAAAATAATCTATCACTATTGCCAGCCTGGGATAACTGGATTTATTTTCAGGGTGTACAGTTTCTGATCAATAATGTTAACAATTTTATTCAGTATGAAACTGAAATTGCATTAAACAAACAAAAAAGATGTAGAACGCAGAATTCACACAGACCTTTGCTATTCCAAGCTTCTGTTTTACAAATTGTGATTAATGGCAATAATTCTATCATCTCTTCTCTCTGCGAAATGCTAAAACTTGCTAAAGGCACTCATATTCTGGGCTTAACGGAAACAGGGTCACATGTCAGGCCGGTATTTTTTTTTTTTTTGGTAGCTACCCATAAAGGGAATTTACAAATGATCCTCCCATTCATAATGGGAAGAAAAAGTCAAACAGCTATCAGTAGAAACATCATATGAGAAGCTATTTACACAGCTATTTGTCCATTCCGCTAGATTGATAGTAACAGCTTACAATGATAAAGCCAAGAAAAACACAAACCAAAAAAAAAACAAAACAAAACAAAAAACAAAAGCAACAACAAAATACTATTATGTATGAAACTCCTGAACAATAATTTGGCTGGTAAAAAAAAAATAGTTGGTCAGGTGGAATATTTTTTAAGCATTTGTTCAAAAGCCTGCATTAAACTTTTGCCTATATTGACAAAATATTACTATTTCTAAAGAATCTCTAATGTCCTATATACACCTCACCAAACTCTTTAGGGAGCACTTTCAGCCTACATTTCAATATTCAGGAAACCAAGTAAGTTCCGAATACACCATCCCTAGGCCTCTCTGTAGAGGATACAATGCCTAACAGTTACCTATCTCCCCTGACAGGGTAAGATTCATTTTACACAGGTCACTGGATAGTCCACAAACTGCAGTTGCTCATGGTCCCAGCCAATTCAGGAATAAAGGAATCATCAATCCCATTGCTAATCCTTAGAATCTATCTACAGAGGAAGGTTTAACCAAATATATGTTTATATATGTTTATATATAAACATGAAATATATATTTCTCCTATTACCCTCATTGAAAATGTAGGTAGGTAGCTATAAACAAGCATCTCAGTTCTGTAAAATAAGGTGGAAGGAAGATGTAATGCTTCCCTTCAGCTGTGTAAGTCGGAGGAATGTAAGAATGATCTCAGACAGCCATGATTCTTCATTCAATCTCAGAGTTTCAAAAAATCCTAAATGGTTTTCTAAGTTTAATGACTAATTAGAAGGGAAAATAATGAGGAAGAGTTGGAGAAGGAACTTTTTCTAAATGAATAATGATATAAAATATTATTCATCTTGCAGAATTCAGTGCAATAAGAGACAGGCATACACATGTAATAAAAACATGCACATATTTACAAGTTGCAGTACATGATATACAAAGACAAGACCAACAAAGTGTCTTCTGTTCAGTGTGGAGTCAAGGGGATTAACACAGCACACTCAGGTTTGTAGCTTAACTTTTTGAAAAAAACACTTCAAAGGCATATGCAATCCCATCTTTTAATTGGAACACAGAATTTTTTCTTTACAACTTCTTGCCCTCAATATCTTAAGAAGAGTTTCTAATTGTTACCTTCTAACATTGACTTCGAATGACAAGTTACACAAAGATATTCACAGAGAAAAGAGACTTTGATGCTGTGAGTTCTCACAGACGATTACTGAAATCTACTGGCTTGACTAAAGGTCTCTGTGGGTCCTTGTATACAGCATATAAAAAGATACTAACGTGACTCCTGGGCAGCACAGGGTGCAGATTCTAGAGCACATTACAAAGCAAGACTGGACTTCACAAAAGGAAACCAACAGAGATCATGTATCACTGACTATGGTAGCAACAACGGCCTTCTTTGACAGGGATAAAAAAAAAAATACTGTCTATAAGGAATGCATGAACATGAGAAATTGTACCATGCAGAGATGTATTTATTTAGGTATTTCCTTTCTGACAACCTCTGTCACCCTTTGATTTACCTATGGAACACAAGAGAATACTGCAAGGTAACAAGCCCAAAAGAACTGTCATAGAGATTGGTGATGGGGGGAAGGGAGGTGTGTATGTAACCTCCATAAATGATCATGGATGTTATCAATTTCCTACAGTTTGGAAATTAAGGAGCAAACCGAGTTATTGTAGGCAATATGGTATCTAAAGTGTCATATAAAACAAATACATAGCTCTTTTTTAGTGCAAAGAAATACAAGTAAGAAATAACACTATAAATCTAACTTTTTTCTTTAAAGAAAATGCATTTATGCATTCATAACATCCTTTAAGGGCACTGGGAGACTGGAAACCTGAATATGCAAGGCCAAGAACACCAAGGCCTTTAAGTCCACTGCTTTTTATATATAGGTAATGAAATTGTTAAGTGGGGAGAGTGGGGGAAATCCTTCCTTTAATTTTATATGCCAAGGAAAAACTGAAAGTGGGTGGATAAATGCCACTTTTACAAACTGTAAATTCTTATCCATAACCTTTTACTATTACCTGAAATAAGGATCCAATGAAATCTTCTCTATGGTATCACATGAATATATATATATATATATATATATATATATATATATATGAGTGCATATATGTATATAAGTACATACATACACAAATACGGGTGTGTGTGTGTATAGTATACACACACACACACACACACACATACAGAGAAAGGGGGAAAAATAAGATATTTAAATAATTATAGAACCAAGTGGCCAGCACTGTAATATTAAAATCTACCAAAAATTATACGTAGCAGCAAAATGAGTAACCTACTGACCAATAAAATAAGCTCTAAATTGCCCTAATCAGTTGTATAAAAGGATTATTATATTTAGAGTCACAGGTCTAGATAGAATCTCAATAATGTTATTTCATTCTCCAGTTTCCAAGAGGAAAAAAAATTGAACAATTCTATTTTTCAAGAATCACTTCAACAGAAGAGCAACTTGATATTTTACCAGAAGTTAATCCCAAAACTGAATTTTAAATATGGGTATAGATTGCTAAAAAATTGTTCAGAAGTATTAAAGGAAAGGAATGATGATTAGAATTTCCTTCTCCTTATCTCGTTGCCTATAGAATTCTCAAAGGAAAAATAGGAGTTTTATTTTTAATTAGTAATATAAGCAATCAAATGTGAATTGACTATAGTGCCAAGACACTGCTCATAATAAACATCCTGGTGAAGGTGGCCTTTCAAAGAAAGTATGGATGAGCACCAGTCTTATCCATGTAAATATAGTAAGTAGATAAAATACAACTAATGAAAGTTCATAGAGTACTCCACTAGTTTACCTAGCCATACACTAGAGCTTCTTATTTTAAAAACAAAATAATAATAATAATAATACTGTTATAATTATCAGATACCGAAGTAATCCATAATGTATTTCTATGACCTTTAAGGAAGCTGCATTATAAAGAAGGAAACCAAAGTTCATGTATTTTACTACTGAAAATGATGATACTAAAATTTGATCAACTTTTTTTCTAACTCCTATCTATGAAACAGTAAGGTAGTAATAGTATTTTTCAGGACAGACAACAAACTGGCAAGACAGGAAAGAATATAAGTAAAACCTAAGGATCAGTTTATCGAAAAAGTCTGCCAAAACAAATATCAAGAGATCTAAACTTGTGATCAAGACCATCATACAAGTATGTTATTATCAATGAATAACTCTAAACTGAAAAATCAAATACATCTTTACATTTCCCAAAGCCATCTGAAAAATAGATTGTAAAAAAATAGCATATCTATCTTAAACTCATTGAATATTGGAAAGGGGGGCTTGGAAAGCCCATAACATAGTTGGGACATGAAATGAGCTTATTAAACAAGCTAATATGGAAAGGAGGCTTGAAGCCATAACATAGTTGGGACATGAAAATGAGCTTATTAAACAAGCTAATTCAACTGGGGTAAGGGGAGGAAGGAAGAAGGTGGCATTGAAACATGTAAAATCCACAACTGGAAATGAAATTTCACTGTTTGGAAGTCTATAAGCACACTGGAAATGTATGAATCCAAGAAAATCTGCATTTCAATCAGTAATGGGAAGACAAGGGGAAAACATGTCCTGGGAAAGACCCGAATAGTTTTATATTAGTATATCCTACTGGCAAGGCATTGCGTTGAGGTGGTTTCTTGGGAAGCCAAACCTTGGGAAACCAAAATCTCTGCTTACCTGTTTTTACCGTTATCTGAAGTAAGAACTCAATAAAATTCTTAACAGTACATAAAATTAAAATTGCAAAAGAAGGTGAAATTTTTTAAATAGTTAAAGCTCTAAGTATCAAGCTACTAGTTGACCAGATCTTGGTCAAGATACAAAGTTATTTCTCATGGGGTAGGTAGGTCACATACTCTAAGTAGCTCAACACAACTGACCTGAAAACGCATCATGACCTAAGAAGCACATTCTTTTCCTTCCCCAGTTTTGACATCTCATGGTACCACTGCAGGTTACAAGTATTGACATTAAGCAGAGGAATGTACTCATATCAAAAGGACCACAAAAGCAGGGCTTGTTGACAGAAGGCAAACAACAGGCAGGAAAAGCTGCTCTATCTGAATACAAATACCACTATACATATCCCAGATTCTCCATCTCATTTCTGTACCGCTGTTCAGACACCTTGCTTTTATGTTGCTTGCTCTCTAAATGCTGTCGGAACTCCATCTCTTCACCGGCCCCAACATTACACATGGAGCAGTAAAACTGGCCACTTGGAGTAACACACATGGCCAGATCTCGTGGAATTCTCTGCCGAGAGCGGGGATTGAAGTAAGGACCTGCTAGAGCAAGAGATAAAAATAATGTATTCCCTTCCAAATATTCACTAAATAAATGACAATAGTCTGATTATCACTGTGATTTGTCATGCTAACATCAAATTATAGAATTCATTGATTCTCAGCTTTAAATGAAAGCAAAATTAATATTTTTAAACTACAATTTTATACAGATTCAATCTAAAAAGCTAAAATGATTACTCCAACTATTGTCAGAAAGGTTACTGTAGAGCAAAACCCAAGCTCTAAATGACAGTGTCTCTTAAAAGTAAATAAAATTTTTTTAATTGTTTAACTTCCAGACATTATATGAAAAGTTTTATAATTATGCTAACTCTTTAACCCAAAAATTCTACTTGTAAGAACTATCCTAAGAAAACAGAATTCTTCCATGGAGACTTATCAACAAGGATATTATTTCATCAGTGTGCATACAAGTTTTTATGAGAGGATGTGAGAAAAGGAGAGATCAAATACATGATTTGAAAAATTATGGTAATGAATGGAATGGAAAACCATGCAGTCACTATAAGTAATGAAAACTCTGATTTTCTTTGATTACATGAAAATGTGGTTATAATATGCTATTAAGTAAAATAAGAATATCACAAAATATAATATTTCTATTGTCTATATTTCTATATTAGAATCTATTTCTATATTCTAATATACAGAGAGATGAGAATGACATATACAAAAATGTTGGTAGAATTAGCAATTTTTTTTTTACATAAGTGACTTCTTTTTTTAACTTTGTTAAATTGAATTTACTGCACTGGTGCATTAAAAAAAAAAGCTAATCTATAATTACTTGAATAAATTCTCCTTAAGCCTTCAAAATACTCATTGTGGCATTTTTATAGGTAAACCAAATTAGGTTTTTAGGTTTAATGAGTTTTGTTTCTATTGAAGTATAGCTGACACACAATGTTACATTAGTTTCAAGTGTACAACAGTGACCGCACAACTCTATACATTATGCTGTGCTCATCACAAATGTAGCCCATCTGTCACCATACAACAGTATTACAATACCACTGACTATATTCACTATGCTCTATCTTTTATACCCTGATTTCTTTGCTCCATAACTAGAAGCCTGTATCTCCCACTCGCCTTGACCACTTTGCCCAAGCCACCCCCTCTTCCCTAACAACCACTTGTTTTCTGTATTTACTTAGCATAATACCCTCTAGGTCTATCCATGTTGTTGCAAATAGGAAGATCTCATTCATTTTCATGACTGAAGTAATATTCCATAGTGTGCATGTGTGCGTGTGTGTGTGTGTGCGCGCACACGCACGCACCACACCTTTATCCATTCATTTATCAATGGATACTTGGGTGCTTCCATATCTTGGCTATTGTAAATAACACTGCAATAAACACAGGAGTGCATGTATCTTTTCAAAACAGTATTTTTGTTTTCTTTGGGTAAATATGCAGTTATATAATAGAATTCTTACGTTGGACCATTGCTTATTAATTTTCTGCTTTTCTATTATACTAAATAAGACTTTTCTCAAAATATTATTTTCACTGTATCCTACAAAGTTTAATATATTCTTATTACTGCTTGATTTTAGGAATTTTAATTTTTAGCATGATTTCTTCTTTGATCCAGGAGTTACTTACAAGTGTTTTAAAATTTCCAAACAAATGGAAATTTTGTAGGGTTTTTAAAAAATATCTTTTTTGTTATTGACCTTTCATTTAATTGTATTCTGGCTAGAAAATGTAGTCTAAATTGCCCTCTGTCCTAAAGTTTATTTTATCTAATACGGCTATCTCAGCTTCCTTCATTTCAGCTGAATTTTTTTTCATTTTTAAAATTTAAATTCAATTAATTAACATATGGAGCATTATTAGTTTCAGAGATAGAGTTCAGTGATTCATCAGATATCTGTAACACCCAGTGCTCAATACATCTCAGCTGAATTTTTTAATCAAATCTTATAATCTTTGTCTTATCTGGGACCTCAGTAAATTCACGCTTACTATAATCACTGATACATGTTTCAACTCTTTTTTTTAAGGTTTTATTTATTTATTCTTGAGAGACACAGAGAGAAAGGCAGAGATATAGGCAGACAGAGAAGGAGGCTCCCTGCAGGGAGCCTAATAATAGGGACTCGATCCCAGCACCCCAGGATCATAACCTGAGTCAAAGACAGACACTCAACCACTGAGCCACCCAGGCATCCCTATTGTCCAACTTTTATTAATCATATCACATTATGTTTTCTATATATGTCCCTTTTTTCTATGTTTCTCTTGCCTGTCCAATTAACTTTTTTTGGTTTTATTTTGTTTTTGTTTTTTTATTTATTCATGAAACACAGAGAGAGAGGCACAGACACAGGCAGAGGGAGAAGCAGGCCCCTGGCAGGGAGCTCAAAGTGGAACTCAATCCCAGGACTCCAGGATCAAGCCCTGAGCCAAAGGCAGATGCTCAACCACTGAGCCACTGGGTGTCCCAACTTTTTTTGTTTTTCATTTGACTTACAATTCACATGAATTACCTCTGCTGGTATATGTGTGCATTGGAGGCTGTGATAGGGGGAGGATGAAGGACTATTCAGAGAGTCAGAAAATACAGAAAACACTCCTCTAAAGCAGTACTTCTCAACTAAAGGTGTATATCAGAATCACTGAGGAAGCATTTTCATGTATGTCTGGATCCCACTCCAAATTTACTGACTGAAAACCTTTAAGCCACGGGTCAGGGTCAGGCATGTGTATTTTATAAAAACTCCCCCAGTGATTCTGATTCACTACCCCAGTTAAAAGCTACTGCTTAATCTTTTTTATTTTCCCCAACAATTGAAGATTTAACATGGTACAACTTTAAACCAAATAACCCATTTTTATAATGCATTTTACATTTCTCGGCTGGCAAACACCAGAAACTGTAAGCAGAGACCTTAAAACATAAACTCTAATTTAAAATAAAAATAAACAATATACTAAACCAAAAATAAATAAATAACTAAGACCTGAAATAAACACCAGCTTGAAAAGCCACTAGACAAATTGATCAGACTGATGAACTAACCTCAAATTCTCAGGGCTGTTACCATTAAAGGAAATAAAAATAAAGAAGACCACTTGCAGAATGTAGCCAAGGTACATGGAAAATCCACAAGATACCTGAATTATTCTGTACTGTATACATATTATTCCTCCTATTAGGCATCATCTTATACTCATTCCCTTCTTTCCGGGTCCGCCGCTGACCAGCCTCTGAGGCTTCCCTGGAGAAAAGAAATTTTAAAAGTGTGAGACTTCTAAACAAGGATTTCTTTCAACTCTTTTTCTCTAAAGATAGTCAGTCTTACACAACACTTTGGCCTGAGAGAAAATGGCAATACCTACGAGAATGAGTTACTCTGAGCTTCCGCCAGCCGCAGCCTCTTGGCATGATTCTTCCCTTGATAGTGAGCCTGAGCCACAGCCGGAGAACTAAAGGAGGCGTCACAGAGCTTACAGTAATCATTCTCTGTGGCCAGGATCACTCTGCCTCCTGGCTTAAAGGAACCCATCTGACATCAAAGACACAAGAGACAAAGTTAAAAAAAAAAAAAAAAAAAAAAGGTGGAGCTTATTCCCTCTTCCCCTTCACAGTTTCTTCTAACAGTTGAAAAATAAGCAAAAGTTATGATAAGACCGCAAGCACTCAACTTTATATGGAAAAGATGTACTTCATTCCAGAAAAACAACAACAAAGAGAAAAAGGAAAAAAGGCTAGGAGCCCCCATCGCAGTTTTGTATTACGATCACCTATGTACCAAACCAGTTATTTGGTATCTCCAATGGCTTGTTTGGCTTGTTTCTATCTCCATGGAGACATTTTTTAAAAAATGCATAGAAGATACAGGGAGGTAAAGGGAAAGCCGAAAATCACATGACCAGAAAGGTAAAGTCCTTCCAGAATCCATCAATAAATATTTACTGTTTATAGGGCTTGCTACCAAATGCAGAAAAGATATGCAGACATATATTTATCAAATGAGCCTCTGTTCCCCAAAAAGTCTACAAATTAGCTACAGATATAATATATCTAGAAAAATAACTAGCAGATTCAGGCAACAGTATTCAGGCTAAGAAACAAGTTCAGAGAAACCTACCACAGTGCCTGGAAGAGAGTATATACTCAAATACTGTTGGGTTAACAAAAATAGACATACTAGATTTTAGCTAGAGGTGAATAAAATACTTAATAAAGAGTCTGGAAGCATATCCTATCAAGGCCAGTTGAAGAAACAGCACTGTTTTCACCTGGATAGGCAGATTTTTCTAGGGGGACAGAAAAGCAGTCTCCAAAAATCACAAAGGGCTGTGCTATGAAAGAAGGTTATGGCTGTTTGCTCAGGGAGGGGAAGCCAGCTGAAAACAATCCCAAGTGGGGAGTGGCTGTCCTGTCCAGAGCAGCCTTCAGGAATCAGGGTCCTGAAAACTGCTCAGCCTGAAAATCTGTGTATTTTCCTATTCTCTGATTCTGTTTTTATCCTTTCTCATTTACCCCACAAATTCATGAGGTTGGAGGAACAGATGGTATTGACATTCATGTTTTAAATACTGGAAAACTGACATTCAGAAAAGTAAAATTATACCATGGCAGCTAGGAGTAGAGGTCCAAGGTTGAAAGAAATTCTTGTTCCACCACTTCACAAGATGCATAACACCATGGACAAGTTACTTAGTTTATCTGAGCTTCTAATAAACTTCCAAGTGAGACAAATGCTGCCGGCCCATGAATTACACTCCCAGTAAGAAGGTCAATACCTCTAATTTATTGGAAACATTAAATGAAGTTCAGGACCCAGGACTAGAATGAGGCAAGGCAAACATTTGCCAAGGGCAAGAAATTTAAAGGTGCGTCAAAAAACTCAGCAATCAAGATAAATAATATTTTAATGGAACATTTATACAAATCAAACCGAATATAAAAAATCACTGTAAACAAAATAGCAAAATGTTAAATAAAGACAGGATCAGTAACAGTGCCATGACAAGCTATACTGCAGCCTGAGGCAAATCAATAATACTTACCTGTCTTTAAGTTTTTGACACTTTGTTTACCACTGATTTTTTTCACATTAATTTGGATTTTTAAAATATTACATTAAAATATTTATCTCTATTACTCAGTGTTTTGGCTCCCTCTTAAATTTTGTGCCTCAGTCAAGTGCATCCTCACCTCACCTTAGTCCCAGCCCTGAATGAAGTAATGCATGAAAAGTGCTTAGAGTGTCTGGCATAGTAAGTACTCAATTAGAGTTATTATTATTTATGACCACATATTGTTCTATGGACAAAGACAGATTAAGGAATGCAATCCATATTTCAGAGGCTATTAAAGTACAGCACTATCTTGCCTAAAACACCTGCTTTATCTACCAAACAGTGAGAGGAACTTGGATCTCAAGTATGTGTCAGTATACTAAAGTTCAGGAAAAGTTTACACAGGCAAACTCCACAGAGGTAAGAGAGGGGCAATCTCAAAAAACTGACCTTGCTGGAAGGCAAAATATAAAGTAAATGGGATTAACTACTATAAAGATAATAAATACTGAAAAATCTCTCTTTTCATTCAGGGCACAGACTAGACATTCAGGGTCCTTTGACCCAGAATTCTGAGAAATGCATAGAGAAAGGTACAAGTGACAATTTTTCTTTCTTTATTTCATGCATCACAACCAAAGCCAATGAGAAATCTCAAGGTCATGGATGTTGGCATGCTTTACATCCAGCACCACAGTTCGAGGCATCAGAAGTGCCAAGAAGAACCTTTCAGGAGTATTTGCCCAACTGCATCTTGACAGGCTCATGGATGACAAATTTCACCCGTGACCCTGTGTGCAGAGGACACCTCCCACCCCGACACATGTGCCTCACCTGCGGAGCAACAGGAACAGCTGGAGGAGCCACAGGTTCTACCACATTGCTCATTCTGGCAGGAGGAGGACAACTGTTGGCTGCATAGTAATTTCGGAGTTTCTTACCATGATTTTTACCCTAGAAGTAAAATAAAATGACTAATCACCATGAAAAAAAATCTGTCAACTCAAGTTAATGTATTCACTAAAAAAAGAAAAAAAGGTGGGGGGAGGAAACCCCAAGCATTTTGTTCTTTCAGATATATGCAACACTGGGGCAAACAGCCCACTAGATCTTAAGGTAAGAGTCTACTCCTTGGTTCTAACAGAATGATTTATGTGGGAAAGACAAGGGAACAAAGCCAAAAGAAATTAATTTCTTATATATTTCTAGAAAAGTATCGCACTTTCCAGTGACCTATTTCCTCCCCCAACTTGTTGCCATTCATATGCTACTGCCTAAATACGAATCTTATTACACTGTGATCTAATCTATTTTATAAGTCAGTAATGAAATGGATAATCCAATTATTTTTACAAAAATAGCACTTACAGAGTATCTTTTTACTTGCAAAGGACTCTCGTGTGCATTAGCTCATTTGCTGCTCACAAAAATTTCTGTAAGAGGAATTTGTTAATATTATCCACATATGATAGCTGAGGAACTGCAATCCAGAAACTGTGGAGGACTTGCTCTGGCACGTTCCTTTAACTGGGCTAAGTAGCGGAGCCAGAGTTTGATGCAGGCCCCCTGAATACCAAAGCAAGACCCTTTGACTACTTCAGGATGGCCTCAGGAGGCACTGTGAACCTCTATTAAAATGTATTTGCCTTTCTCAGGATGTTTTGTTTAAGTAGTTATTCACATGATTATACTCCTTGAAATGACAAACTTGTGGGAAGGGTGAGTGGTCTGAAAGCATTCTAAATGAGGGTGAAACAATATGTCATTCTTCAGACTGCACTATAAACTTTAAACCTATAGGCAAACATTCAGTACCATCTATGATATGCTAAACCCCAGAAATAAAAAGGACTAGCACATGCCAAGAAGAGAAGAAAGATATGTAAGCTGTTAATTAGAGTAAGGGGAGTAGTTCTACCTTCTGACCACTGGAATGCCCTAAAGGTGCTCTTGCCATGGTCCTGCTGACCTCCAGCCTCACATCTGTGGCTTCACTATATTCTAACTCTAGGCATGACACCATTGATACTCCCTTCTGTTGTCTCCTAGGATGCCTTCTTGTTCCCCCAATTCTCATTCTCTAAACACTGCAACATCCAAAACTCCACCCTTGGCCCTCTTCTCCGTCTATGTTATTTTACCATGTCTGGTAAAATATAATTTAAAATATATTTGACAAGTTAGTAGCTCCCAAATTATCTATCTCTGTTATAGAATGAATCATTGTGTCCCACCAAAATTCATGTGTGGACATCTAATCCCAATGTGATGGTATCGGGAGGCAGGGCCTCTGGGAGGTGATTAGGTCATGTGGGTAACCAGTGCCCTTATAAAAAGAAGCCCAAGAGCTCCTCTTCCTCATTCTGCCATGTGAGGATCCAAGGAGAAGTTGGCTATCTATAACATGGAAGAGGACCTCACCAGAACCCATCATGCTATTACTCTGATCTTAGACTTTAGGCCTCTAGAACTATGAGAAAACTCATTCTAGCTCCAGGTCTTCCTTTTTGCCTAGACTGTTCTTCTCTCAGATCTTTGCATGGCTGCCTCCTTCTTACCTTTCAGTTCTTAATCAAATGGCATCTTACTGAATCTCAAGAGTCTTGCCATTCTCCCCTACTCTGCACAACACATTCTCCATCACACTGTAAGTCTAGTTTATCTTAGTGCCACTTAGAATGATCTAACATGATATTGTTTACTTGTTTTTTTTTCTCTTACAGTCTCTGGAATGTAAACTTCTTTAAAATAAGGATCTGTCTTGTTTACTCTTCTATCCCCAATGTCTACAACACTTACTAGCATAGCATGGGCAATCAGATTTTTTGGGTAAATGAACCAAGTACCATAATGGGGATAATGAATAAACTTCCAGGAGAACAGAAAGAAGGAATTTCATACTTCTGTCTAAATGTATCAGAAAAAACTTCCCTGAAAAGGGGAAAATCAAGTCATCTTTTTAAAATGAGCAAAAGTTTACCAGGCAGGTAAAGAGCAAAGGGAAAGAAAATTGTGAACAGAGAAAAATACTATAATCAAAAGCCCAGCAAACTGTGTTGAGGAGCCACAAGGAGGGATAGTTTTCTGGATCCTTTGGGGAAGAGTAGGAGTTGAGATACATAGGAAGCTTGATGATGAAACAGATCTTGGACTTTAGAGGCAGAAAGGAGCCTCTGAAGGACTTTAAGCAAAGTAGTTACATGACTGGATTGGGTTTGATAAAGATCAACTGGGGATTAGCATGGGGGGATAAATCAGAGTAGATCAAAGCTAGAGCTAGGTAGATAGAAGACAGCCAAGGACACAGCCCTAGGACAATATAATACAGAAAATGAGGATCCAGAAAAATGAGAATGGCCTATCAAAAAAAAAAAAAAAAACAGACAAGTGGGGCATTACGGAAGCCTAGAATAAGGAGTTCAAAAGAAGAGTCTAGCTAGATACATTATGACCTAGGAACTATACTTCTAGGTATCACCAAACAGAAACACACATTTAAGGAGATATCTATAAGAATGTTCCTAGGAGGGACACACTGAAAAGTAAAAATAATTGAGGTGTCAGGGTACCTGAGTGACTCAGTTGGTTAAGCATCTGACTCTTGATGTTAGCTCAGGTCATGATCTCAGGTTCAAGGGATCAGGCTCCTGATCAGGCTCCATGCTCAGTGGGGAGTGCTTCTCTCTCACTCACTGTTTCCCTTTGCCCCTTCCCCTGCTCGCACACACTCTCTCTCTAAAATAAATAAATCTTTTTTAAAAATAATTTAAGTGTCCATGTATAGGATAATGCATAAAGTATAGCCTATTCATACAATGGAGCACTATGCAGTGGTAAAAAATAAACATTCTAGGACCATGCATGGCACCATGAATGATTCTTGTAACAAAATGCTGAATGAAAAGAACAAGTTGCAAAATAAGTTATGTAAGAATAATTTTTAATACGGGAGTTAAAAACATGAAAACCACTACATATTAAATAAGAAAACATGTATGTAGCAAAAGTGCAAAAGAAGTAATGGAATAAAATGCACAGAAGCCATGCCCTCCACATAAGTAGAGTTATAGAATGCCCAGACTTCAAAATAACTAAAAGTTAAAAAAAGGGAAAAACACCAAATCCCAATAAGCCATGGCTCATGCTCCTGCCACAAGCATTCACAGGAAGCAAGAGCAGTCTGACAAAAACTGCAGGAAAGAGAAGAGGGAGCTAACAGCAGGCCTAAAAATGCTTTGAAGCCACAACCAGGAAAAATAAACCCACCCTAAGTTTGTGAATCCTAAAACATGATCTGGTGGAACAGAGCACTGACTGCTGCACAGGGGCTTAAATGTACAATTGATCACAAATGTAAAAGTGGCTTCTGGAAGAGAAAGAGACAAAAAGAAAGAGAGATCTGGCACCTTTTGGCAACTGAGAGGTGAGGGGGTAAAAAAACAAAACTAGCATTCTATAAGACAAAAAAGAGCAAAAAACTGGAGGGCATACAAACCACCAAAAAAAAAAAAAAATGAAGAAGTGAACTTTGCTACAGTTATAAAAGAGATTGCTATTGATTAACCACCCAAAAATCCACATAATGGAAAGATGAAAACAAATCAATTCTATAGAAAGTTATTACCAAAAAAATCAACACATCTCAGCAAATGAACACCATCCCCCAAAAAACACATGAAATTGAAGAAAACCATTAATACAAACTCCAAATTGAATTAAATATATTCAAACAAGAATTTGGAAATATGAAAAATCACCTTCAACCAGGAATCCAACATTACAAAGAAAAATAGCCAAAATAATAAGAAATTTAAAGTAGGGTAATTAAACTCAGGAAAGAAAAAAAGAATTGTATCAAAAATGAGAAGTAAATATATGCCAAAGGAGAGTACACACAAATAAAAATGTAGTAAGAGGCACTGAAGAAAGAAGAAAAAGAAAGAAAGAAAGAAAGAAAGAAGAAGAAAGAAAGAAAGAAAGAAAGAAAGGCAATCAAGAAAATAAGACAATATAAGGAAGACATAGACATGGCCAACAAGCACATGAGAAAATGTTTCACATCACTGGCCATCAGGGAAATACAAATCAAAACCATAATGAGATACCACCTCACACCAGTGAGAATGGGGAAAATTAACAAGGCAGGAAACCACAAATGTTGGAGAGGATGTGGAGAAAGGGGAACCCTCCTGCAATGTTGGTGGGAATGTGAACTGATGCAGCCACTCTGGAAAACTGTGTGGACGTTCCTCAAAGAGTTAAAAATAGATCTGCCCTACGACCCAGCAATTGCACTGCTGGGGATTTACCCCAAAGATACAGATGCAGTGAAATGCCGGGACACCTGCACCCCAATATTTATAGCAGCAATGTCCAAAATAGCCAAACTGTGGAAGAGCCTCAGTGTCCATCGAAAGATGAATGGATAAAGAAGATGTGGTCTATGTATACAATGGAATATTACTGAGCCATTAGAAACGACAAATACCCACCATTTGCTTCGACGTGGATGGAAGTGGAGGGTATTATGCTGAGTGAAATAAGTCAATTGGAGAAGGACAAACATTATATGGTCTCATTCGTTTGGGGAATATAAAACATAGTGACAGGGAATAAAGGGGAAAGGAGAAAAAATGAGTGGGAAATATCAGAAAGGGAGACAGAACATGAGAGACTCCTAACTCTGGGAAACGAACTAGGGGTGGTGGAATGGGTGGTGGGTGGGGGGTAGGGGGTGACTCGGTAACGGGCACTGAGGGGGGCACTTGTGGGTTGAGCACTGGGTGTTATTCTATATGTTGGAAAGTTGAACACCAATAAAAAATAAATTTATTTTAAAAATAAAGAAAAGACTATATAAAGAAAAATTTTAAAGGGCTAAAGAGGAAGCAATGGAAATGGGAGACAGGTAAAGAAGGAATACCTTATATAAAATTGGAGTCCCTGAAGACAAA